TCATCGAATTGCAATGGATTATTCCGCGACATGGCGACGCTATTCAATTATCCGAAACACTCGACCAGTCACTGGCGTGACGCAACTATTTGAACAAATTCAAATCACACCACATACACGGAGGGGAAAAAACGAACGTCGCGAAGCACTAGCAAAAATTAAGAATATAAAGCATGAAAATATTATCCAAGAACATCACAGAACACACAAATATTCACTTCCCAATGAATCACCAGTACTGTAGTAAACTTCCATCGATTTCTTCAGACTCTTAGAACCTTCCATCACCTTCATTATTCCCCTTCTGAATCCCACTCGAAGGGAAACCGTTGAATGACCTCTCGATTTAGAAAAATGTACGGTATCATTCTCCAGGCGATGTAAATGTACGCAGTGTATTACTCGTCGGGTTCGTGAGACTTCTTTGATTTCTCCGACTCCGATTTGGATACCTTGTCTACTAATTTTACTCCCTCGGCTTCTGGTACAGTAGATTCATTCATAACATGTTCATCAACCTTTCTTCAGGGTTAGTATGGACAAATGGCACATACATCTTGTAAATTCAGCTTCACAATACCGCTTTCGACGCCCTTGAACGAGCACAGGCTGAAATTGTACTCCATATTGGGCGAGTTGATTCTGCGTGAAAAAAAGAGAGCTTCCTCTTTACCTACTCCGTAAATGAAATCTCCGCCGTCCTCTTGAACTTTCGGGCGAAGTCTTGTATCCAACATTTTCCTGATCACCGCTACTAATTCATTATCTTTCGACGAACCCTCGGAGAACAGATAATCCGACTTCCGCTGCCACAGAACCGTACAATTGCAGCAAATATTTCCAGCTTCAAAACGCTTCATTCGGTGCCATCATCACTGTAAAAAGACGAGCAAAATTCAAAAGTGATAGTGCTTTTCAATAGCCCATCATAATTTTTCACGGCGTGCGTTCTCTTAGAAATGTTGCCACTGATGATCAGTGTATTCCCTTTCTGCTCCGGCATTCCAGCATGAAACGAATGAAGGTTCATATTTCCTTCCCGCTAACCGGAAATTTCGATTATTTAATTACAGTAGCTTAGTAGCTGCAATGAAATCCTTGCCAAAGGCGACTGACTTCACATTTCATGCATAATGACTGGTATAATGAAGGAACATCTGCCTTCTTCCAGGAATTGAAATATCTCGTTCCGCCATCTGAAACCTGAAAACAAAGCATACAGATGAATCTCAATGCAGTCTCTGAAACCAAGTCACGAAGCAAAGATCCAAGCGTAAACGTTAAAAATCCTGAAAACGTTTTCCTAGTGATGTAATGCATAACTTGGCTGACGACCACAGCGTTATCCAAGATCAAATCGCAGCAGTAGGCAACTCATTACCTCATACATTGAAAAAGCACACAGGCTTTCGGTGAAAATCATGACGGTAGAGCACAGGGTGGATGAATCACTAGTTATTCTTGAATCTAGTGGAGCTTCCATTACAGGAGGATGCGGTTGTTGTTGATGACGAACCACATCACTGGCATCATAGTTCCATGAAGTGCTTCAAATTTAGTTCAGCGAAACCGACATTTACTCCAGCTTCTTTTAGATGACATTACAGTATTACGTTCAATTTATGATTACTTTTAAAAAATAATTCAATCCTGTCAACTGGAACATCAACTCAAAACTCCATCTCGTGAATGCACGATTACGTAGAAATTAAGACGACCGACTATAATACAGTGAATGGAAAGAAAAATTCAGGATCACTGGATACGTTCGTGTAAATATCGATCCTTGGAGAATCGAAGCTTGTTGTCATTGTACGATTCAACGAGTTTTGCCCGATATATGACCCCAACCAAACTCCGGGAAGAAAAACTCAATTTCCATCTTAGCGTTTTCTTAGCCATCAGCTCATGAGAAGATTACCGCTTCTGAATTTCTTAAACGATATTTTCATTTTTACTGCCTGACCTGATCCATGAACGAAATTTGGGTCTAGTGTACTTTAGCGATGCCAGTTAAACGCACTGTGCGTGTTCATGCGCGCGTCCATTTTTCAACCCGTGCTGCCCTCTATGTGTACTTTGCTTTCTTACAGCTTCGGAACCAACGTGGACAACAACCCTGGCAAAGACGAAAGAGTGACTTCAAATGCTACCTCACCAGGAACTAAGTGGCAAGCGCGACATCCTTCACGTTACTTCCACAAATTTTAACAATAAAGTAACAATATACGACGCGGCTCAAAACACAATATACGACGCGGCTCAAAACACAATATACAACGCCGCTCAAAACACAATATATGATGCGGCTCAGAACACCAATTAGTAGGCACATACAACGCGGCTCAGTAGGTTACTTTATTGTTAAAATTTGTGGAAGTAACGTGAAGGATGTCGCGCTTGCCGCTTAGTTCCTGGTGAGGTAGCATTTGAAGTCACTCTTTCGTCTTTGCCAGGGTTGTTGTCCACATTGGTTCCTAAGCTGTTAGAAAGCAAAGTACACATAGAGGGCAGCATGGGTTGAAAAATGGACGCGCGCATGAACACGCACAGTGCGTTTAACTGGCATCGCTAAAGTACACTAGACCCAAAAACCCCCCAACAGACCCTTTTTCTGGGTGGGATAAGCAGGGTGTATTACTCGAAACACCTGTTGGCATGTACTGTACATTGTAAGGGTCAAAACCCCTTTACCTTGCAAAAAACTGCAACCCTTTACTTCCAGCAACAAAGAGGAGAAACCCGCAAAGGCACAGCTCAAAAACAACAGGTGAATGCCATATGTCTCAAGCGCACCCTCAAGGAACCCGACACCCCCTGCTGGTCCCCAGTCTGCGACAGTACTGTATTAGAGGGGGGACTGGGAGAGGCGACTGACCAAGAGATACCACCTGAAGCAGAAGTGTTTGATCAGAGTAAATGTGGAGTGTCCACACCTAATTTAATAGACTTCAGCCAGAAACTTCGCTGACCGTCACTTACCTGCCCGACTGATTTTCAATGGTGATTGGCAGCAAACAGGTGCGACTTTTTGAACGAATTACAGTATTTTGGTAGTCAATATTTTCTAGAATATCGCTAGATGTCACGGTTCTGCTCCGCTGAGCTTCCAGTGTTGCGCCATACCGAGTGTCTCGCGTATCAAATCCCCCTATATTTTCCTCTTGGAAATATATATGCTGGCGTTCTCCGCCAATGGTCGGATTTCTCCTTATACGATAGCCGTAATTTTTGAAAATGACGATTTTTCGCTATTTCTATCTAGGATCCCTCGATTAGCCATTATGATTCATCAGCCCAGATGAGTAAGCTGGTATAGCGCTGTGGTCACCATCAAATGTATAATGCAGGTATAGATTTGCGGTCCGCTTGCGCACTGATCAATGCGAGTGACAACGCTGGGTCATTGTCCTGCGGAAATTTGTGTCCCCTTTGAATCAACTCGAGCATGTGAGGAGGTATAGATCTATTTTTTATAATCTGAAGAGGTAAACTTCTTTCGGCGCGGTTTCTTCCTATATGACCCCTGATTAGTCCATTCCTGTTCCTGAATGCAGTACACGTCTTTTGATTCATATATATACTGTATATATGTCTTCTATTGTATTGTCGTATTCCAATAATTTAAACTGAACCGACGATGTTACAGTAGTTATCTTTCAGTAAGGTTTGTTGTGATTTCCTGGAGCCAGAAGAACCTGTGTGCAAAGATGAAGTTGTGTTTAACGTGACTATAAAGTTTAACCTGTATGCTGATGACTGATGCTCCGTGTCAATTTTTCCGATGGTAAAATAAAGTGTTCGACCCTCGCACAGCAGCTGATGATGGTGCATGCTGTATCCAAATCCTCTTGGTTTTCTTAAAGCATACAATAAACGGCTAATTGATTCTGAAGTTGAAATAGTTCATGAGATGTCAATTTCTTCGAACTTTCTCTAGTGCTGGTAAACCAAAACGGTGTTGATAGGTTGAGGATCTGAATGTAACCAGAATTGTAAAATTCTCGTTCTCGATTGTGGACTGTTCCCATTCTCACCACTGGAATGAAAGATTTTTAAATGCTCGCATTTAAATTTGATTTTTCGGGGGTTGAAAGAATATCCTTGGTTAGATTTTACGGGATTTTGACAAAATAATTTAATGATGTACAGTACTGTACGTTTGTCTTAAATTTGAAAGCACTTCTCCAATCTGCGGGGAAAATAGTGACAACCACTGGCGCGGCCCAATCAACGCGGCCATATTGACCCGCGCAATTATGTTAGCGACATCAAATGATTTTATACTGTCGTACACGCCAACCAATCACCGCATGGCTTACGCGATACTGTGCGTACTTTCGTCAGCCATCTCTGCGAACCTTGTCAAGAGGCGAGCCCAGCCTCAGTCTTGGTACAGTCCCCAAACTGAATGGTTGTACCGGAAACATACCGAAACAAGTGACTTATGTCGTGAACTCTACTGGGTTGTGAAATAGAAGGCATTACTCTCTTGTGTAACTTGTGTGTGTGTTCTTTGCGACTCGAGCTGATCCTAACTGAGTTGTGTGTTAACTGGAGACTATATAGGTCGGAAAGTGACGGAGTCTTACTGAATCATGACACAGAAGGTGCATGATGTATCATTATTCGTTCTCAGATCTCAGTCGATTTTTCAGCGGAATTGTGAATACATGATTGCATGCTACTTGAATTAAACCATTGTAAAGGATTAAGAGTGAGCAGAATTTTCTTGTTATTCATTATTGTAATCGTCGAATGGATATTGCCTTTCATGATTATCCGCGTGACATGCATTCGATGATTGTGCTTTACACTTACTTATTATCAATGGCACATAAACGTAAGATTCCTATGCAAGGTTCTTGAATAACCCTGAAATGCAGAACATCTTGAGAAAAATAAGCACTGATTTTGAAAGGGCGTCTCTGCTGGAAGTCGGAATTCAGACTCTCTGTGGGGAAATCTTCAGTCGATCACCTAGAAATTTAATCCTCGAGTTTCTTTTCTTTCAGGAATTCACCGTGAACCCCATTTGTGCGCTATGCTGGAGAAGTATTTGAAGCAGCACGTGATCACAGTGAAGACATATCCTCCTGCGGTGTTTGCCCAAAGGCGCCGCCTGTGCGAGAAACGGTGTCGTCCCTGCACTAACGTGGCTTTCACCGACGGCTTTGCTACAGTGAGGACCCACAGCGTTTTGCTCGCCGAGTCTAGCCCGGTGTGGAGTGCCTTTTTTGGTGGACCTCATCTGCCTCGAAAAAGAGCCGTGGTTTTGGGAGTGCCTGGGCCAGAGCTAGAGCTGCTCCAGTGCATCGTGCCCTTTTTGTACTCGGGCGTGCTGCGGGCCAGCCACGGTCTGGTGGGCCATGTTGTCGACTATATGGTGGAGAAGAGGGTCGTGGGCGGCCAGGATCTGCTGCACACACTCAAAAAGTTCGCTGTGAGTATTTGTTGATCGCTGTTTGATGAGGCGAGATTATGAATAAACTCATAGTTTAATAGTTGCGGTGTCATTTACAATCGCGAATTGTATCATTAATGTGTGATATTGCTGAATACTGTACGGTTATTTCCTGTCAAGGATACGAGTCACCTGCACAATTATGAATCTGACAATCTATCAGAATATGTGGTCTACCGAGATATCAGTAAACCTCCGTTAGTGCAAATCTCGTTATAACGATTTTCTTTTGTCTCAGCAGTTTCGTCACACTTGGGACAATGTTACGAAATCTTTTCTGATGAACCAATTTTCCTCTGTAGAATTATAACGAATTGTTGCCTGGATTATGTATGCATGGGCCATATACATTTTTGTTTGCCCAATGAGGGTAACCCCAACATGGGTGTGATCGAAGAACCTTCAAAAATACAAATTCTACATTTTTCTGTTAGTTTTGATTCAATTTATTTCTTCTAATTAATGAATTCATTCCGGATACAAGTTTTATGTGCTTTTGTTTCTGGCTTCTAAAATATCAATGGCATCATGGGGTGATACCCTATTCCGAATCCCAACACTTCGAACCGCTTTTTTCACTCTCCCAGACACAGAATATTCACAAAAAGCTAGATCCAGCGAGCGGACGAGGGATTGTCAAGACATTCTATGTCATTTCTCCATTTGAGGCTGTGACACTTCTTTTTTCAGCCAAGCCGAAACTGTGCTCCGAATTATCCCGACATGCTCATAATTTTTTTGATGTAAGGGATAATAAGTCACTGAATTCTTTGACTGACGATTTTTGTAGGATAAAATATTGAAACTGCTTCTTCTTTAGAAAACATTGAGTTGCATTTTCTAAAAAAAATTTTCCTCTGCTGCTCGTTGGATCTGCTGACTTCCCACAGCGAATTGAATTGGTGCAAAACATAGAAAATTCGGTAGTTTTCATCTGGTTTACTGCTCGAGATGGATGAGTCATTGGTCACGGCCCGATTTTGTTCCAAAACACGAACTCCGTTTTCATTATTCCTTTCAGCACATTCCTGCGTTTTCACCAAAAGTCAGACTCCCCACGTTGCCCGGCCTCAAAGCGTGTCCTTGTCGAGGAAACAGGTACGGGGCCATGCCGAGGGCGTTGTATGTTATGCACCAGCGCCGACTGCGACTTCCACGGGCAGCTTCAGCCAGAGATGATGATGAAGAAGAGCACCGGGTGCTGATGGCGTCGGAAGATACCGAATCCGAACACCCTGCGTTGCCTGAAGAAAATTTAACTGAGATGGACGTGGATCCGACTGAGATGAGTCAGGTGTCTTCCGGATATGGAAGTCTCATCCTGGGATCTTCGCTGGTGTGTATGAATGGAGACATCATGGAAGGGGGAATAGGACATGATGAATTAATTTGAATCACTGGGACAGACAATCACGGGCGTGAAAGGAAATGCTTTCGTTATACAGTAGTTTTGACACCCTTCCCGATTTGACGGTGACGCGATGTTCGTCTACGTCAGAGTTGGAAGTTGGGACCCTGCGTTTCGGACATAATCCGGTCTTTGGTAATGCGAACGTCCCTATTAATCGAATACTGTACCTTCCTCTGTCGATTTTTTGTTCAAGTCCCTAACAATGAAACAACTCATTAAAAGCCTCCAAATTAGCTCGAAGCCTTTTCCTCTCAAACCTCCGTGACTCAATTTTTCTGAGGCCTTATGGCATTTTTTTTCTTGACACAGGAAAGAGAAAATCAATAAAATAATTTCTTGATGATTTTTGAAAGGAAGTGGACGGCTAATCGAGCAAATGACCCCTTGCCTCCAAGTTAAGCATCCTGTCAACTCATTTGAGAAGCACTGTGAGGAACTCCCGGAATTCTTCTGTCTTTGCCACAAAATTTAATTCTTTCCATAACTTGGAATTGCATTGGTAGTCCTTCGAACTTCGACTTAGAGAGGTCCAACTGTGCAGTACCTATATTGTATTTTATAATGTGTCGAGAATAATGGGCAATGCTGATGCGCTTGGACATCAGACGCATTGATTGTATGCATTACTGTACCTCCATCCTAATCCCTCAGCACCCCTGTACAGTATTATTCAACTCGATTTTTTCTTGACAGGGTTCAATTTCGGTACCATCGTCTATGAAAGATGGGACGTCATCGTCGTCTCCGTCCTTCTCAGTGGCAAGCAGAGCATCCTCTCGAATCAGCGCCTCGTCTTCCTCTGTCATCAGTCGCAAGAAGCCGGCTGCTCTAACCTACACCCCAGTGACGAGCGCCATCTCCATGGAAGAGGCACACGCCAACATGCCCGAGGACGTGAACAGAGACGTGCCACTCGTCCGCGTGGACAGCGTCATCTGGCGGGGCAAGAACGTGAAAACTGGCCGTGCTGTGTACGTGTGCGGGGCGTGTCGGGACAAGAGCTACACGCGAAAAGAGTACGCCACTACGCACGGCAGGCTGCACACGGGCGAGAAGCCGTTTCCGTGCGCCAAGTGCGGGAAGAGCTTCTCGAGCAAGAGCATGTTGACCAAGCACGCGAAGAGGTGCAGTCAGGACCAAGAGGACGAATAGCATGGGACTGTCGTTTCCTTCTAGCTCATGCGATTGCAGCTGATGTGAAATAGGGAATACTTCAGAAATTCCGAGTGTTCGTTATTCCTCTTGGACGTTTGATGAATCGTACTGCAGATCGACCCGAGCCCCGTGAGATTTCGCCTCTTTTGCATGCTGTATGTTTTTTTTGTGTGTTGGTTCGTCGAGGACGATTGTTCCATTTCCACGAGTGAGATCACGTGTAGTGTACATGACATCAGCTGCCATTATAGCAGCAGTGCGATCCGACTTGACTGCTGGTCTATCAGATATCAGATAGCGTCATTCGCCTCACTAACCAAGTTTTTTCAACCATCTAATTGAGTATTCCTCAACCCGTGGTCCGCGGACTACGGTTTGAGGAGAAAAGCCAACTATTATTCGCAGAAGTCTTTTGTTGCCAATCAGTGGGAAATTTTCTTCTGTATGATAAAGTTATCAAAAGTAGCAATGAAGTCTTTCATCTTTGAAATTTTGGGAAGAAAATGGCAGATGAAATTACATGATGAAAAAATGAAAGTTGGCTTTTCTCCTAATAACGCTTGAGGCAAGTGTGCACCTGCTGGAATAAAGTATTTTAATTTATATTCTGAGGAACCCTTCTCCAAGCCGATCTTTCCCACGTTTTTGTAGACATTCCACTATACCTGCATCATCTGTTCTGAACTTGACTTTTGCAATTTAAAATACTTGCTCTGAAGCCTTTCAAGCAAAACTTTTTAGAGTCTGTAAAAATGTATGATACTTTGCTGAGCCGCAGACAATTTTTGGGAAATTTGCCAGTCAGCAAAAAATGGTATGGAAATTTCCTGTTATGCAGGCCCAAAAAGGTTGGGGAACATTCAGCTTTACAGTTCCGAATTGTGCTTGAGCAAATATGAAACAAAAATGATGCTCTATCGCCAGGCTTGTTAAAATCCAGTTTGGTGTGAATCCAGGTTGACCCCAGGATGGGTTTAAGAAAGGAAATTGTCCGATGAGAATCTCTGGCAACCTGGGTTGCACTTGAAAACTTCGGAAAGGTAGAGCGGACGGAGTACAATACTGTACAAGTGTACAGTATTATTTTTTGACTATATGCTCTTCAATACTGTTCAAAGCTGCGAAAAAGGAGGAGGAAAGATTCCTGCAAATATCGCGAAAGACTAGATCTACTCAATACCTTATTCATCTTCGGTATTCCTCCGGTCAAGTCGGGTTGAGCTCGGTATTGATTTTTACGATGGGTTATTTCACGCGGTAATGGAACAATCGTCGGATTTTCACGTATGTTAATCACTCTTCTGTTCTCTGCTTCTCATCTTCGTCGGAAAAATTAAAACGATGTAACGAGGGACTGAAAAGTGGCGCGTATTTGAATTCAGTGCTGCATAAGTTGAGGTTGTTGCAGTTACGATAATTGCTCAGTTTACGGAGGTTTTTTTTTATGCAGTACAGTACTGTACTGTATTACGTGAAATGACGTATGCACCACTCAAACAATATTTTGATGCACTGACAAATTGTCTGATCCACATCCTGGACGAATCAGGAGAAAACGAAATGAGTGGCCTTCGGAGGCATTGCTGTGAGAAATTCCCAATTTGCGGACTGTTGGTGATGATGTAATTGTATGTGATTGAACTGTTTCAATTCTTTGCACCCATTTCTGGTATTAGTAGGTGTGAGCCTCTGTTTCAAACCAGTGTATTTTTACGTTAATTGTTTTGGTTCCCATGTCCACAAAGCTTTTAATCCCTTTCAGTTCTCTGGATAAGTTGAATTTATCGATTCCCTGTTTATCGCAAAGACTCAATATAAATTATACTGTACAGTACAGTACATGATTTATTATTCGAACGTGGTTTTCAAAAGATGAATTTACCGTACTGTATTTACTCAATTACCACGCTCATTAAAAAAANGAGTCCCAAGAAGTTTGCTTCCTTTAATCCAAATCACAAACACACACTTCAGACTTAGAGCCTTTAGACAGAATTCGAAAGACAAGTAAATTCCTCAGACAAAACAGACAACACAACAGAGATCTGCTACGAATCGCAGCACACGTTGTTCTGTGGGCTTTGGAGCCCACGCCACGCTCTTCGAACCTTCCTCCTCCTTTCTTGATTGGAACCTCCGACCCGGTAGTCGGTGTTACGACATACCGAGCGCGTGCCACGCCGTACCCGCATACGGTTATTGTCAATGTGCCCGAGTGTGCAAGGCATGCTTGGGTCACGTGATCATGGATGAACGCAGCGCCACAAAATCCCCCCCTTGGGCGCCGGAGATGTAGAGGTCGACGGCGCCTAAGGACCCCAAAAGTGGGGCCGCAAGATGTCGCTCACGTACAACGGTGATACTAGGCTACGTGGTAGCCAGGGAGGTGGAGCAGCCAAGCGTCTTCGACGGTGCGGCGGCGCAAAAGATGGTGGCGCGCATGCGCCGGCGGAGGTGACTGGAAGAGAAGATCAAGATGGTCATTCAAGTTTGGTGGCTTGCCTAGGGCAGAGCTCCCAAAAAAAGTTTTTTGAAGAAGTGAGAAGAGCTATGAGAAAAAATTTGGTTTGTGTCATTTGTCAAAGTGGAAGTGTCAAGTTTAGTCAAGTTCGTTAGGCAGTGTTTCGTCGTTTTTGGTGGAGACAACTTGTTCTTGGTAGGCTCCCCGGAGATTTGGCGTTCCCTGTTGATGCAGACTTTGCGTTGGTTGGGGGGCCCCCTGAAATAGTGTTAAGACAAGCAAAAGATAGGCCCCAGGGACTTACTATTGGATAGGACATCCCAACTGTGCTCCATATGAGCCAGATATGCTTTTAGGAGACGTAGGCCTTGCTCAACATCCCGACCGCGCCTCAGCAAGGCAGGATTTAGGGGATGGAGATGCGCTTTCAGTTCAAAATCCCAACCGCGCTCCCTCAGAGCCAGACTTAGGGGACAGAGTAGATGGTCCGTAGTTGCAGCATTGCAAACTTAGTCGTAGCAGGAGGTAGGTCGTGTTGGAGCTAGGCAGAGCAGGCGGAGGTCAAGCCAATAGGTTTGCACGTGCGTGTGCATCGGTGTAGAGCGGTCACTGTGGTTGCAGTGTCTGATGTTCTTGTTCCTTTTCCATCTTGCAGAGAAAACCGCGTATCGCAAAATATAACAGGCAAGTAACAGTCCCAAACCTGAACGCGTATCAGGGCAAAGAAAAAGTATCTGCGCGGCAATCAAGGCGGCGCAAAACCCAAACAGGTGCATAGGACCATCAACATCAACGCAGATCAGCAAGTATCAACAACAAACCAAGAAGGACGACCGACCAAACAAGACCACAAATGGAGTCATCGCAAAAGCGGGAGAGAAGCGGCGATCAGACGGAATTGCCGAAGCGTCGCGCTTCTGAAGACAAAGCTGTTGCTGGTCCTTCGTCCGGTGAGTAGACCCCAAAAAAGTGGCTTGAAGAGCATTTTATTTCATCCGTGTTGTTTTTTGGTGTGCAACAGCTCCTGACGGTGCTGCAGCAATGGTCCCAGACGTGCCAATGACAAACAGGGAGACGGCGCCTGCGGCGGAGCCTGCAGGGCCGACGGTGATGATCAAGGTGCCGGCCGCCCTGGAAGGAGGAGTCGTTGCCTTGCGGGGCTTAAGCGCAGCGGGATGGCAGAGCGTGTTGGCGCTCCTGCTGGCAGCTACGTCAGTGGAGGAGGCAACAGCTCAGCGCGTATATCTGGAGACGCGCGCTGCTCAAGAAACGGCAGCTGCGCAGGCGGCGCAGGAGCGCCTCGTAGCCGTCCAAGAACCAGTGCAGGGAATAGTGGCGGCAGTAGGAGTGGCGGAGACCGTCGGACGCCAGCTGCGCGTCGTGGAAGCGCACATGGATGCCCAGGAGCGGGAGCTCATGCGGCGGATGGTGGCGCAATTCCGCGCCAGGGCAAGGGCCGCCCCAATGGCGGTTAGCCAGGCCTTCCCGAGAGGCGGGAGGGTCTTCCTAGACAAGGCGGACATCACCGTCCAACAGGAAGGTTGGTAACTCATCTCTTTTTTGGAAGTGTGTATGTTAATGCCTGCGTATTATGTGCTGCAGGACCTTTGTGGATCGCCCATTTGGCGACGGACCAGGAGGTTATTTTCATGTGGGGACCCGTATAGTGAACTTGGTCCCTGCCTGGTACAGCGCAAAGCTGCCGGGGAGTGACGTCGCCTCGGCGGCATTAGGAGCTGCAGCTGCTGCGACGGTGGCGGCTGTGCGGAACCAGGTGCCGCTGTGTAGTGTGGCGCCGGAACGACAGGCAACGCCAGAGGTTGCAAGGACATCATCGACCTCGTCCTCCAGTGGACGGATGGCGACGGGGACGCAGGAATTGTCTCGGACGCCCTGTGCGTTGTTGCCGCGCACGCGCCCCAATACTGGGACGCAGGAAGTATTTGAGGAGGAACTGGATGTGGAAATGATTGACGCGCCGCCAGGTAAGATGCGGGACAGCAAAATGCTGTAAGGTTAGAGACTGATAGGCTGTGCTACCATGTTCCAGTTGCAGATGTGCCAGACGCGTTGGCGGTTGAGGTGGTAGCGCACAAGCACTTGTGGCGCTTCGAGCCTGCAGAGCCAATTTCTTACTTGGCAAATGTCTGCCGCCAACGTGGAGCGACTGGGGAACGGCACCACTTTATGAGGTACAATCAGCTCCCAATGCCGGGCTGTACAGTGTCCAACTACTTATTCTGTTGCGCGCAAATGCGCAGACCACCCATCGCGAGGGGGTTCAGTACAGGTCGCCAATGTGTTCTGATCATAGGGGACTCCTTGCTCTTGATGTTTCGTCTAACACGGGAGAATTGCTGCTGGTTCGGGCGGGTATCCACCCAATCGTTGACGCCACAACCGGTGTTTGACTACTCGCACCTCANGTGCGCCGCAGAGATGCGGATATTGAGGGGTAGGCCAGGTTTGTGATGCCTAAATGTATATAGTGGGTTTGCTGTAGCGAATGTTGTTGTTAACTTTGTTGTTTTTTAAAACCGTGGCCTCCCCCCCGCTTTGGGGGATGCGCCAGTTGCCGGGAGCTTTTTCCATTTTTGGTCCTATCGGTTGCTTCCCAATGTGATTTTTCCGGTATACGTCCCCCCTGACCGTGACCCCTTCTCGATGGAAACTTGTGTTTGGAGTGTATCGGAACAGAACGGTATTGCGTCTGCCCCCAGGGCAGGAATTGTGCTCAACAAGCTTGTTAGAATCTTGTGATGGTTACGTAACGTCAAACGGCTTGATCTATTGGTATTTTTTTGGTGCGCAAAGCAGCGCCTTTTGGCAGCCTGAGTAGAAGGGAGGGTCAGACTGGTTGATCTTGGTGCATGCCAGTGCAGAAACTGATTTGTGATGGAATTATGTTATGCGGGTTGTTACGCAAAACATGAATAAACTGAGTTAAATCGCATTTTGTTGGTCAGTTTCCTGGCAAACCCTAATAATTCTTTGCAGGGAGTCTAGCAGTTGGGCCTGGATCTGGTTCACTGTTTGTGCAACCGTGGCCAGTGGTGCAGGTACTGCTGGCAGAGGAGCAGCTGGCTGAGGGGCACTTTCCCCTTGATGTGGGCTCCCCGGCAGGGTTGGAGCAGGGCGCGGAAGATCTGGTTGCTGGTCCACTTCAAGTGGAATTAAGTGCGCAATCGACTGGCTCCGCAGAATATGCAGGGTGGATGTGCCGTCAGTTTGGTACCTACAGGACACCAGCACATCAATGGCACGAATTTTGCCGTCCTGAGGACTGGCCTGCACTTCCAAGATGCAGCACAGCTTCCATTTGAGGCGTGACATTGGCGTGTCACCCTTAAAGGATGCAACTTTTAGGAGCGCGACCTGGCCCACTTTGGGTTCCAGGTGTGTGGGCCTGCGGCCCACATGAGTAGGGAATGTGCGGAGTTGGGTGACATACCCGATGTAAAAGGCGTGCCAGAGGTCCTTAAGGTAATCCATGCGCAACTTGGTGCACCATTTCAGACCTTTCTCATCAGCATACTCAAAGAATTGGACCGGCGAGGGGCTGTAGCAATACGGATCCCAAGTTGGCTCCGTAATGTCCTCTGCGCCGGGATTTAAGAACATAGATGGTGTTATGCAGATCGGATTGTTCCGATCAGTGGGCAGNGTAATGTCCTCCGCGCCGGGATTTAAAAACATAGATGGTGTTATGCAGATCGGATCATTCCGATCGGTGGGCAGGTATGTCAGAGGGCGGGAATTCAACATCCGCTCCACATACTTCATTGCCTCATAAATTGTGGAGGTGTATTTGAAGCGTACTCCCTTAAAGGAGCGCGCTAGACACCCTTTGATCATACCCATCATGCGCTTGTAAAAGCCACCCCACCAGGGTGCGCAAGCTGCATTAAAGTGCCATTGGATATGATTCCGCAAAAAGTGTTGCTCAAATTCCATCTCTTTTGTGAGCAGAAATTGAGGCCATGCTGCCCGAAAGGCTGTCCCATTGTCCGAAATGACAGTGGTCGGGCTGAGATCCCAAGCATGGCAGAATGTATTGAACTCAGTTACAAAGGATTCTAGTGAGACATCGAGAACTCACAATTCCTGCCCCGGGGGCAGACGCAATACCGTTCCGTTCTGATACACTCCAAACACAAGTTTCCATTGAGAAGGGGTTGCGGTCAGGGGGGACATATACCGAAAAAATCACATTGGGAAGCAACCGATAGGACCAAAAATGGAAAAAGCTCCCGGCAACTGGCGCATCCCCCAAAGCGGGGGGGAGGCCACGGTTTTAAAAAACAACAAAGTTAACAACAACATTCGCTACAGCAAACCCACTATATACATTTAGGCATCACAAACCTGGCCTACCCCTCAATATCCGCATCTCTGCGGCGCACAAGCTGAGCCTGATGCACGGCATATGGTATGATGCCCTCCCTGGCGCCCCCACTGCCCATGCTCCGTGAATGGTCACCTCCATGACAACCATGCGGTGCCCCGCATGCCTGATGATAAAGCCAACTTGCAGCAGGCCAGCTCGTTGTAAATGCAGGTCCGCCCGGTTGACCTGCATCCCGGCATGGCCATACGTCTGGCTGTACGATCCGACCCCAAAGCCCAACAGATCCCATCTGCAAGCATACAGCAACAATTGCATATCACCCTGCGGTTCAAACAAACACGCGTCAGTATACTCACTGAGCAAATGGGTTGCCCACAGCGCCCACTCTGTTTAACACTGGCAGAACCTGCGGTTCGCAGGGCCGCTCACCATAC